TTGATCACCGGCCAGGGCCACTGTCCATAGGAGGGCGCCCCACCTTGCGAGGGGCCCGTACTAGATGATGGAGCCGCCACATTTAAAGGGGATGCTGCCTGGGTCTGAGGTGCCTGCGCTTTTCCTGACCCCTGTCCGCCCTGCGCCAAATTACGCACTTTGCGCTGGACTTTTTCAGGTGCTGCGGCACCGGTTCTTCCTCTTCCCAGAGCTCTTCCTGAACAGCCTCCTCTATCACTGGCTCCTTTCCTTTCACTTTGACAGCCGTCACCACCCTCCTTTGCACCACCGACTTTGTCGCATACCCTAGCTGCGCCAATACGTCTGTAACAATCCTTGTTACTCCCTGGGTCCCAGAAGCAGTCGCATCTCTTTCCTTTCTCTTCTGCATTTGCAGGCGTACCTGACGTTGTTCGACCTGGTCCAAACATCCCACTTCCACCCCTCTATCGATGGTGGCCCAAGTGAGCTTAGTGCTACCTCCTCCATGTCTCGTCAACTCGACGGCCTCCGATGCCGTGAGTAGCCCVAGGAAGATGGCGCACTGTGCTTCCTCTAAAATCCCATGGACCTTTCGCGCCCTCTTCTTAAATTCTTGTACAAAAGCCCCTATCGTCGTAAAATCCTCCTTATTCATCGCTTCAAGGTCCGCGGTAGTCAACAGTCCATCTCCCAAGCGGTATTTCCTCTGCATCCCCTCCTTGAATCTCTCCCAGCTACCTTGGGCTGCTTCTATGACATTCTTCACCTCCTGATGGTAGCTGTGTAAGACATACTGGAGGATGCGCTGAAACTTTACAATGTCCGACCGCCCAACCAAAGCTTGTTCCACCCGCTCTAGCCATTCCGAAACTCTCTCCCCATAGAAGTGGAAAGTATCGACCTTTGGGATGTTGCTCGGGTTCCTTTCATGTCGGTCGATGGCCGCAATGAGGTCATCGAGTGTCAGGCCCTTCTTCGGAACAACTGATGGGCCGCCGGTCTCAGGCATCTTGATAGTCTTTCCTTTTTAAGCTCCCTGGCAAAAGAACACAAACACATCCCCTTATTCAACATTATACCTTGACCAGTCTATTCCATCCTTCCTACCTAACCCTTGGTACTTACTTTACCCAATGTTAACACGATCGTCCCTCATACTTCCTCTACTTGGGTAGGTAAATTTCCTCACCTATACCTAGTCATTCATTATCCGTCCTTACCTTCTCATCATTCCTCTATGCCTTTTCTCGTTCACTTCTCCTACCCGGATGTCCTTCCACCAGGGACAACGGCAGGCAACCGTTATCCCCGGCAACGGCGCCACATGTCGGGCGCGATCGGTCCGGCACCGCACGGGGGCAGCGCGGGACCCTCCCVGCCGCGTCACGCAGGAGTTGGTCTCTACGACCCTTCGTCGCAGATGTACATGGAGCTTTCACAAGCCGCTCAAGCCGGGTGCGCCAGCCATACCTCTCGCGAGCCCCTACGACAAGATAGGGCCTACGCGAGGCACGACTTACCTACACCTTACGGCAGTTGTCACCTCCCTTCGGTGGGCGTATCCCCGTCGAGCTACCAGTCCACATTACGAAAGTTAATCAGCTGCAATCGCAGAGGTGGACCAGCCGAGGGCGTTTCTCGTTCGCTGTAGCATAGGGGGTACGCGCGGTAATACGCCTCTATCGGACCCGCACGCGAACCGACATCTTGGGGGGGCTGAGGTCCCAAGCGCGACTCATCGTCGGTCGACTAGGACGCTTCCCACACACCACGCGCACTCCACGTTACGAACACAAAGACATAGAAACATGTACACTCACACGTACGAAACGACACGACACAAACAACGCGACAACGCTCCTAGCCCCTCGGTAGCCGTCCCACAACTTTCGGACGCAAAATCCAATAGYCRTCGCGYGCGGRACTTAGGATAAAAACRYGCGGACGCAGGGCCTACTCATGTCGACTCGCAATKYAAACGTACGCAARCAGTCGCAATGATGGCGTACTATGTAGTGCCCATAATCAAGCGGTCCCTCGTGGATCCGAGTACCGCTTATGACGCTCAAGTGTCAGACTTGAAGTGTCGTGAGGGCCTA